GTAAAAGAGCTTTTATAGGATAGTGAGGCACAGGTAATGGTTGTAGAAGAAGAGGGAGAATACTTCCCGTAAAGTATGGTGCTTAGACAGGATGTGTAATGTCACCATGGTTGTTTAATATATTTATAGATGGGGTTGTAAAAGAAGTAAATGCTAGGGTGTTCGGAGAGGGTGGGATTAAATTATGGGGAATCAAATTCAAAATGGGAATTGACACAGTTACTTTTTGTAGATGATACTGTGCTTATGGGAGTTTCTAAAGAAAAATTGCAAAGGTTAGTGGATGAGTTTGAGAATGTGTGTAAAGGTAGAAAGTTGAAAGTGAACATAAAAAAGAGTAAAGTGATGAGGGTATCAAATGATTTAGATAAAGAAAAATTGGATATCAAATTGGGGAGGAGTAGTATGGAAGAAGTGAATGTTTTCAGATACTTGGGAGTTGACGTGTCGGTGGATGGATTTATGATGGATGAGGTTAATCATAGAATTGATGAGGGAAAAAAGGTGAGTGGTGCGTTGAGGTATATGTGGAGTCAAAAAACGTTATCTATGGAGGCAAAGAAGGGAATGTATGAAAGTATAATAGTACCAACACTCTTATATGGATGTGAAGCTTGGTGGTAAATGCAGCAGCGAGGAGACGGTTGGAGGCAGTGGAGATGTCCTGTCTAAGGGCAATGTGTCGTGTAAATATTATGCAGAAAATTCGAGTGTGGAAATTAGGAGAAGGTGTAGAGTTAATAAAAGTATTAGTCAGAGGGCAGAAGAGGGGTTGCTGAGGTGGTTTGGTCATTTAGAGAGAATGGATCAAAGTAGAATGACATGGAAAGCATATAAATCTATAGGGGAAGGAAGGCGAGGTAGGGGTCGTCCTCGAAAGGGTTGGAGAGAGGGGGTAAAGGAGGTTTTGTGGGCAAGGGGCTTGGACTTCCAGCAAGCGTGCGTGAGCATGTTAGATAGGAGTGAATGGAGACGAATGGTACTTGGGACCTGACGATCTGTTGGAGCGTGAGCAGGGTAATATTTAGTGAAGGGATTCAGGGAAACCGGTTATTTTCATATAGTCGGGCTTGAGTCCTGGAAATGGGAAGTACAATGCATGCACTTTAAAGGAGGGGTTTGGGATATTGGCAGTTTGGAGGGATATGTTGTGTATCTTTATACATATATGCTTCTAAAGTGTTGTATTCTGAGCACCTCTGCAAAAACAGTGATTATATGTGAGTGTGGTGAAAGTGTTGAATGATGATGAAAGCATTTTCTTTTTGGGTATTTTCTTTCTTTTTTGGGTCACCCTGCCTCGGTGGGAGACAGCCGACTTGTTGAAAAAAAAAAAAAAAAAAAAAAAAAAAAAAAAAAATTATATATATATATTTTATATATATATAAAATATATATTAAAAATATAATATATATATATAACGCTAAGATAACAGCTAAGATAACACGCTAAGTAACAGGGATATCTTGCTACTCCAACTAACACTTGGTCACACTTCACAGACACGCACATGCATATATATAATACATACATCTAGGTTTTCTCCTTTTTCTAAATAGCTCTTGTTCTTTTTTATTTCTTCTATTGTCCATGGGGAAGTGGAAAAGAATCTTTCCTCCGTAAGCCATGCGTGTCGTATGAGGCGACTAAAATCCCGGGGAGCAATGGGCTAGTAACCCCTTCTCCTGTATACAATTACAAAAAAAGAGAAAAAAGAAAAACTTATAAAACGGGGTTGCTTAAATGTGCGTGGATGTAGTGCGGATGACAAGAAACAGATGATTGCTGATTGTTATGAATGAAAAGAAGTTGGATGTCCTGGCCCTAAGCGAAACAAAGCTGAAGGGGGTAGGAATTTTTCAGTGGGGGGAAATAAATGGGATTAAATCTGGAGTATCTGAGAGAGTTAGAGCAAAGGAAGGGGTACAGTAATGTTAAATAAATCAGTTATGGAAGGAGAAAAAGAGAATATGAATGTTTTAAATTCAAGAATTATGTGGATTAAAGTAAAGGTTGGATGCGAGAATTTGGGTCATAATAAGCGTGTATGCACCGGGAGAAGAGAGGAATGCAGAGGAGAGAGAGATTTTGGGAGATGTTAAGTGAATGTATAGGAGCCTTTGAACCAAGTGAGAGAGTAATTGTGGTAGGGGACTTGAATCTAAAAGTAGGAGAAACTTTTAGAGAGGGTGTTTGGGAGGTAAGTTTGGGGTGCCAGGTGTAAATGATAATGGGGGCCCTTTGATTGAACTTTGTATAGAAAGGGGTTTAGTTATAGGGAATACATATTTTAAGAAAAAGAGATAAATAAGTATACACATATGAAAGTAGGCGAAATGACATAGTTTGTTGGATTATGTATTGGTAGATAAAAGACTGTTGAGTAGACTTCAGGATGTACATTTTAAGAGGGGCCACAGATATATCAGATCACTTTCTAGTTGTAGCTAACCTGAGAGTAAAAGGTAGATGGGATACAAAGGGGAATAGAAGCATCAGGGGAAAAGAGAGGTGAAGGTTTATAAACTAAAAGAGGAGGCAGTTAGGGTAAATATAAACAGCTATTGGAGGAAATGGGTAATGAGAGCATAGGCAATGGGTCGAAGAGGTATGGGGTAGGTTTAAAAAATGTAGTGTTAGAGTGTTCAGCAGAAATTTGTGGTTACAGGAAAGTGGGTGCAGGAGGAAGAGAGCGATTGGGGAATGATGATGTAAAGAGAGTAGTAAGGGGGAAAAAAGTTAGCATATGAGAATTTTTACAAAGTAAAAAGTGATGCAAGGAGGGAAAGTATATGGAGAAAAAGAGAGAGGTTAAGAGAGTGGTGAAGCAATGTAAAAAGAGAGCAAATGAGAGAGTGGGTGAGATGTTATCAACAAATTTTGTTGAAAATAAGAAAAGTTTGGAGTGAGATTAACAAGTTAAGAAAGCCTAGAGAACAAATGGATTTGTCAGTTAAAAATAGGGGGAGGAAGTTATTAAATGGAAGTTAGAGGTATTGGGAAGATGGAAGGAATATTTTTAGGGAAATTTTTTAAATGTTGATGAAGATAGGAAGCTGTGATTTCGTGTATAGGGGAAGGAGGGAAAAACATCTTTTAGGAGTGAGGAAGAGCCAGTTGTGAGTGTGGGGGAAGTTCGTGAGGCAGTAGGTAAAATGAAAGGGGGGAAGGCAGCCGGGATTGATGGGATAAAGATAGAAATGTTTAAAAGCAGGTGGGGATATAGTTTTGGAGTGGTTGGTGCAATTGTTTAATAAAGTATGGAAGAGGGTAAGGTACCTAGGGATTGGCAGAGAGCATGCATAGTTCCTTTGTATAAAGGCAAAGGGGATAAAAGAGAGTGCAAAAATTATAGGGGATAAGTCTGTTGAGTGTACCTGGTAAAGTGTATGGTAGAGTTATAATTGAAAGAATTAAGAGTAAGACGGAGAATAGGATAGCAGATGAACAAGGAGGCTTTAGGAAAGGTAGGGGGTGTGTGGACCAGGTGTTTACAGTGAAACATATAAGTGAACAGTATTTAGATAAGGCTAAAGAGGTCTTTGTGGCATTTATGGATTTGGAAAAGGCGTATGACAGGGTGGATAGGGGGCAATGTGGCAGATGTTGCAAGTGTATGGTGTAGGAGGTAGGTTACTGAAAGCAGTGAAGAGTTTTTTACGAGGATAGTGAGGCTCAAGTTAGAGTATGTAGGAAAGAGGGAAATTTTTTCCCAGTAAAAGTAGGACTTAGACAAGGATGTGTGATGTCACCGTGGTTGTTTAATATATTTATAGATGGGGTTGTAAGAGAGTAAATGCGAGGGTCTTGGCAAGAGGCGTGGAGTTAAAAGATAAAGAATCACACACAAAGTGGAGTTGTCACAGCTGCTCTTTGCTGATGACACTGTGGCTCTTGGGAGATTCTGAAGAGAAGTTGCAGAGATTGGTGGATGAATTTGGTAGGGTGTGCAAAAGAAGAAAATTAAAGGTGAATACAGGAAAGAGTAAGGTTATGAGGATAACAAAAAGATTAGGTGATGAAAGATTGAATATCAGATTGGAGGGAGAGAGTATGGAGGAGGTGAACGTATTCAGATATTTGGGAGTGGACGTGTCAAGCGGATGGGTCTATGAAAGATGAGGTGAATCATAGAATTGATGAGGGAAAAAGAGTGAGTGGTGCACTTAGAGTCTGTGGAGACAAAGAACTTTGTCCTTGGAGGCAAAGAGGGGAATGTATGAGAGTATAGTTTTACCAACGCTCTTATAGGGGTGTGAAGCGTGGGTGAGAATGTTGCAGCGAGGAGAAGGCTGGAGGCAGTGGAGATGTCATGTCTGAGGGCAATGTGTGGTGTGAATATAATGCAGAGAATTCGTAGTTTGGAAGTTAGGAGGAGGTGCGGGATTCCCAAAAACTGTTGTCCAGAGGGCTGAGGAAGGGTTGTTGAGGTGGTTCGGACATGTAGAGAGAATGGAGCGAAACAGAATGACTTCAAGAGTGTATCAGTCTGTAGTGGAAGGAAGGCGGGGTAGGGTCGGCCTAGGAAGGGTTGGAGGGAGGGGGTAAAGGAGGTTTGTGTGCGAGGGGCTTGGATTTCCCAGCAGGCATGCTTGAGCGTGTTTGATAGGAGTGAATGGAGACAAATGGTTTTTAATACTTGACGTGCTGTTGGAGTGTGAGCAAAGTAACATTTATGAAGGGATTCAGGGAAACCGGCAGGCCGGACTTGAGTCCTGGAGATGGGAAGTACAGTGCCTGCACTCTGAAGGAGGGGTGTTAATTTTTGCATTTTAAAAAACTGTAGTGTAAAGCACCCTTCTGGCAAGACAGTGATGGAGTGAATGATGGTGAAAGTTTTTCTTTTTCGGGCCACCCTGCCTTGGTGGGAATCGGCCGGTGTGATAATAAAAATAAATAAAAATAAAATATATATATATATATATATATATATATATATATATATATATATATATATATATATATATATATATATATATAAATTAGTTAGAATCCTCACCTCTTGCTTATGACGTACTCAGACCCACACACCTCTGGGTAGACTTCATCAACAGAAGCTATAACTGTAAGATTAACTTCACCCAGTGACAGAGCACGAACCTTCACACTGTGAACTACCTTATCTTGGGGAGGGATACATGAACTACGTTGGTTCTCAGGTTGTCCACTTTCAAGATCTTCTAGAATCACATACTCAGCACTTTTTACAAGCTGTACTTTAACCTGCAAAAAAATTTAAGAAAATATAATGAAATAAAATATCATTTTATTATGCTTTATTTCGCTTGTTTATGTTCTATACATTAACATTTCTTCATTGTTCCTAATTGTATACTGAAATACAACTAATTTTTTTTTTAACACAACGGCCGTTTCCCACCGAGGCAGGGTGACCCAAAAAGAAAGAAAATCCCCAAAAAGAAAATCCCTCCAAACTACCAATATCTAAATTATGTTGTTTAATTTCCATAGTAACAACTGTATATTAATTGATACATCTATCTACTTAAAGACTGTATCGTTTTGAAGGTTTACAGATATTCTATATGGCATATTATATGAAAATCTCCTACTGAAAAGAAATCAGCAGTATAATACACTAACAACCATGCCCAAAGAGTAATATTCATTTTTCCCTCACAGAATAGAGGCTGGGAATCCATAACTCTTCTACAAATATTATTTAGTACATTAAAGATTACTATCAAGCAGAACATTAGATATTATCTATAATTCGTCAACAGTATCATCAGAAAGACAAAAAATACCTACAAGGTGAACAAAGTTTATAAAATAAAACGAATAATGAACATTTTTTCAGGTTCTGTTATAAAAGTATCAAATAAAAAGCTACTATAAAGCTGCAAAATTAAAGTGCCTTTACTTACAAATACTGTATGCTATTGCAGTAAATTCAATAGTGTCTCCTCCATTATTTGGACTAATCTAGATAATAGTCCACACACCTAAGCTACCATTACTAACCTTATATTTTTCAACTCCTTGTGTGAACCCAATCCGGCATGATGGAACATGACAGTGAAATATAACTGCCTTTTCTTCCTACTGAGTAATTAGCATATACAATAAGATAGCAGCATACTGCTGGAGTATCCAATTTTGTTAAAGAAAAAAACTAACAGTAACTGACATAAACTGGTGCACCTCTCATCACTGTGCCCATTTAAAAAACTTCGATAACAAAATTGCTAGAAAAACGGAAAATCAATCTGACAAGTCCACAGTCGAAATAAAGAACACAAGTACTTAAACTGTTATCAGCCATCACAAGACTGTCAACAAATAATTTTTTATATATATTGAAAGACCACAAATTCAAAACATGCCTTTTAATATCTCTGAAACATATTTAAAAACTTATGTAGCTCAAATTTAGGCACAGAATTTTCCTTGCATTACACCTTTTCTGAAACAATGTCTCCATAGAATTTAGAAATGATCAAGTTGAAATACGCATTAATATATTCATTCATAATCCTGTTATGATTTACCTACCTACTGGCACAGTTTCCATGACATGCATAATATTAAAAACAGTTCTCTTCCTTTGCTAATTAGACATGACTTTTACCTTACCATAAATCATTTAAAGGAATTCTAACTCTACAATGGCAAACAAGACATTCAACTTTTCAAATAGCTCACACTTAGTTTAATAGGCTACTCTGGGTACAGAGAACTTATTTAACAAAGTTTGCCCCACGTAAGTTACTTAGGAAAAGGTCGAGAGTTTTGTTTCCATGAATTTTCGGATACTGCATAACGGATGAAGTTCTTCCTGTACAATATCGAATTTCATTTAACACTGCAAATAAATTTATTATTCTGATTCTTTTGCATTTGGAGTTTCTAACATTCAAGCATTTCAAAAAGTTTTAATATAAAATAAGAAGGTATAAATTATTTAGAAAATGAATGAGAATACATTTACAGTGGACCCCTGACATTCGATGGCATTGACATTCGATAAATCCGACATTCGATGCATTTTAACCCAAAAATTTTGCCTCGACATTCGATACGATTCGTACGAGACATGTCCACGTGTGGCCTGAACTGCCCCGTGTGTGCCAGTATTTACAAGCCAGCCAGTGTGCGCGGATCTAAGGATACATTTGGTACATTTCATATTATCCATATTATCACTGTTTTTGGTGCTTGTTTCTGCAAAATAAGTAACCATGGGCCCCAAGAAAGCTTCTAGTGCCAACCCTTCGAGAAAAAAGGTGCTAATGACCACTGAAATGAAGAAAGAGATAATTGCAAAGTACGAAAGTGGAGTGCGTGTGTCGGAGTGCATGATGATTTGGTAAAGAAATTGCCTGCAACTAGTGGTGATGTAAGTGAAGTTAAGGCCAGCAAAGGTTGGTTTGAAAGATTTAAGAATCGTAGTGGCATACACAGTGTGGTAAGGCATGGTGAGGCTGCCAGTTCAAGTCCTAATAGAAGGAGATTCCCCTTCTAAACACTAACACCATCCACACTCTCCCCTCCTCCCATCCCATCAATCATCACCAGATCTTCATTAAAGGTAAGTGTCAATTATTCTACTGTTATTAATCTATTGTAATTGTTGTTATTGTAATTATTCTATTGCATTAAACTTAATATTTCATGTGGTAAATTTTTTTTTTCATACTTTTGGGTGTCTTGCACGGAATAATTTGATTTCCATTATTTCTTATGGGGAAAATTAATTTGACTTTTGATATTTTCGACATTCGATAGCACTCAGGAACAGATTAGTATTGAATGTCAAGGGTCCACTGTACTGGGAATTCTCAAAGAAGTTTACAAAGAACAGATTGAAGCGATTATACTGTGTTTATATTTCTAGGTATTTTTTAAGAACTGAGCACACTCAGAAAAGCTGCTAAACAAATTACAGCTTTCTAATACCCTATGAGAGCCGGGGAGGTAACAAGTACTGTATGGTATAATGTTTGTCAGGAAACAAGACGAGTTTCCTGACGCAGGTCTTCGTCATATGATGACCCACAGCTGGAGCTTTCAGTCGTCTGACTGAGGACTTACTGGTCCACCTCTTTAGTAAGATGCAACAAAAAAGGTCAGATATTATATAGTATATGACTTAAAAACTCAGCAATGTTAAAGAGTGTACTTTAGACTATAATTAAAATTTTAAATTACAATTTTATTTTTGTAACTGTTGTAAAAAATTTCTTGTGATATTTGGAATTCTTTGGTTCAAGATAATAATTTTTAATAAAATTTGGTCTTTATTTTGTAATTACATCTGAAACATTTTGCCTCTTCATACTTCAGTAATAAAAGGCATGTACAAAAGATCATTAAAAGGTTTTGCAAGTGCATTAAAAAACTTCTAATGAAATTTGATCTTATTTTACTACATATTATTTAAAACAAACAATGGGAAGCCCTTTAAAGGAGGGTTTGGATATTGCCCCTTTGATTGAACTTTTTTTTAGAAAGGGGTTTTAGTTATAGGTAATACATATTTTAAGAAAAAGGGATAAATAGTATACACGAATAGATGTAGGGCAAATGACAGTAGTTTGTTGGATTTTTATTAGTAGATAAAAACTGTTGGTAGACTTTCTGGATGGACATGTTTATCGAGGGCCACAGATATATAGATTCCTTTCTAGTTGTAGCTACACTGAGATAAAAGGTAATGGGATCAAGGAGAATAGAAGATCAGGGGGAGAGAGGGGAAGGTTTATAAACAAAAGAGGAGGCAGTTAGGGGAAAATTAAACAGCTATTGGGATAGATGTGGCTAATGAAGATAGGCAATGGGGTCGAAGAGGAATGGGTAGGTTAAAAATGTAGTGTTAGAGTGTTCAGCAGAAGTTTGTGGTTACAGAAAGTGGGGGCAGGAGGAAGAGGAGCGATTGGTGGAAAGATGAAGTTAAAAGAGAGTAGTAAGGGAGAAAAAGTTAGCATATGAGAAGTTTTTACAAAGTAGAAGTGATGCAAGGAGGGAAGAGTATATGGAGAAAAAGAGAGAGGTTAAGAGAGTGGTGAAGACAATGTAAAAAGAGAGCAAATGAGAGAGTGGGTGAGCTGTTATCAACAAATTTTGTTGAAATAAGAAAAAGTTTTGGAGTGAGATTAACAAGTTAAGGAAGCCTAGAGAACAATGGATTTGTCAGTTAAAAATAGGAGAGGAGAGTTATTAAATGGAGAGTTAGAGGTATTGGGAAGATGGAGGGAATATTTTGAGGAATTGTTAAATGTTGATGAAGATAGGGAAGCTGTGATTTCGTGTATAGGGCAAGGAGGAATAACATCTTGTAGGAGTGAGGAAGAGCCAGTTGTGAGTGTGGGGGAAGTTCGTGGAGGCAGTAGGTAAAAATGAAAGGGGGTAAGGCAGCCGGGATTGATGGGATAAAGATAGAAATGTTAAAAGCAGGTGGGGATATAGTTTTGGAGTGGTTGGTGCAATTATTTAATAAATGTATGGAAGAGGGTAAGGTACCTAGGGATTGGCAGAGAGCATGCATAGTTCCTTTGTATAAAGGCAAAGGGGATAAAAGAGAGTGCAAAAATTATAGGGGGATAAGTCTGTTGAGTGTACCTGGTAAAGTGTTATGGTAGAGTTATAATTGAAAGAATTAAGAGTAAGACGGAGATAGGATAGCAGATGAACAAGGAGGCTTTAGGAAAGGTAGGGGGTGTGTGGACCAGGTGTTTACAGTGAAACATATAAGTGAACGTATTTAGATAAGGCTAAAGAGGTCTTTGTGGCATTTATGGATTTGGAAAAGGCGTATGACAGGGTTAATAGGGGGGCAATGTGGCAGATGTTGCAAGTGTATGGTGTAGGAGGTAGGTTACTGAAAGCAGTGAAGAGTTTTTACGAGGATAGTGAGGCTCAAGTTAGAGTATGTAGAAAAGAGGGAAATTTTTTCCCAGTAAAAGTAGGCCTTAGACAAGGATGTGTGATGTCACCGTGGTTGTTTAATATATTTATAGATGGGGTTGTAAGAGAAGTAAATGCGAGGGTCTTGGCAAGAGGCGTGGAGTTAAAAGATAAAGAATCACACACAGGGTGGGAGTTGTCACAGCTGCTCTTTGCTGATGACACTGTGCTCTGGGAGATTCTAAAGAGAAGCTGCAGAGATTGGTGGATGAATTTGGTAGGGTGTGCAAAAGAAGAAAATTAAGGTGAATACAGGAAAGAGTAAGGTTATGAGGATAAAAAAAAGATTAGGTGATGAAAGATTGAATATCAGTTTGGAGGGAGAGAGTAGGGAGGAGGTGAACGTATTCAGATATTTGGGAGTGGACGTGTCAGCGGATGGGTCTATGAAAGATGAGGTGAATCATAGAATTGATGAGGGAAAAAGAGTGAGTGGTGCATTAGGAGTCTGTGGAGACAAAGAACTTTGTCCTTGGGGCAAAGAGGGGAATGTATGAGAGTATAGTTTTCCCAAAACGCCTTATATGGGTGTGAAGCATGGGTGATAAATGTTGCAGCGAGGAGAAGGCTGGGGGGCAGTGGAGATGTCATGTCTGAGGGCAATGTGTGGTGTGAATTAAATGCAGAGAATTCTTTAGTTTGGAAGTTAGGAGGGGTGCGGGATTCCCAAAAACTTTTGTCCAAGAGGGCTGAGGAAGGGTTGTTGAGGTGGTTCGGACATGTAGAGAGAATGGAGCGAAAAGAATAACTTCAAAGTGTATCAGTCTGTAGTGGAAGGAAGGCGGGGTAGGGGTCGGCCTAGGAAGGGTTGGAGGGAGGGGGTAAAGGAGGTTTTTGTGTGCGGGGGGCTTGGACTTCCAGCAGGCATGCGTGAGCGTGTTTGATAGGAGTGAATGGAGACAAATGGTTTTTAATACTTGACGTGGGGCTGTTGGAGTGTGAGCAAAGTAACATTTATGAGGGATTCAAGGGGGAAAACGGCAGGCCGGACTTGAGTCCTGGAGATGGGAAGTACAGTGCCTGCACTCTGAAGGAGGGGTGTTAATGTTGCAGTTTAAAAACTGTAGTGTAAAGCACCCTTCTGGCAAGACAGTGATGGAGTGAATGATGGTGAAAGTTTTTCTTTTTCGGGCCACCCTGCCTTGGTGGGAATCGGCCAGTGTGATAATAAAATAATAAAAATAATGCTTCATTTGAATTATGTCATCAGGAAGAATTCCCATGGCAAATACTGCTTTTTAATTTTAATTTTATTGCCATCTCCAATATTGAAATCTGAAAAATAAAATTGTTTTAAAATATAAAATAAAACAAGTTTGGCTTTAATCTGCCATAATAGTGAGATGTCCTGGTATATAAAGAAGAGGGATGTTCTCGTCTCCCAAAATGTACCATGAATAGGGCTCAGATAAAGTATTGCTATGCAAATGATCCTATAGTTGAAGAGGACACCAAATCCTATGATATGGCTGGAAACAGGACTGATCATCAGAATGTGGATAAGGTGTCAATCATGGGAGCATTGGTATGAGAGAAGTTCTTGGGTTCAGGGCCTCAGAGGCTCACCAAAACTAATCATAACTGCAGAGAACTTCTTGGACAGAGTGTGGGAGAGGTAAAAATTGTATCAATGTGGAGAGTGGAGATCTCTGTTCATCACTTTCACTACTGGACACAGATGTAGGGAACCACAAAATAATATTTATTGGGAAAAAACAATGTGGCAGTGATGAAGCTAATACTAAGGTTACAACAGATGGTGCACCAGCATGATTAGTAAGGTTACAACAGATGGTGCACTCAGCATGATTAGTAAGGTTACAACAGATGGTGCACTCAGCATGATTAGTAAGGTTACAACAGATGGTGCACCCAGCATGATTAGTAAGGTTACAACAGATGGTGCACCCAGCATGATTGGTAAGGTTACAACAGATGGTGCACCCAGCATGTACATGCTTTGTATTGTACAATTATGCAAGAGAGATTATCCGTGTATTTTCAAATACTTACGGGTAAAGCTTCTTCCAGGTAGTTAAAGACTGAAATCTTCACTGGGAAGATCTCGCCACGTTTCACAGATGGTGGAAGGGTGAGATCAATGAAGAAAGGTGTAAAGGTTGTTATTAGAGCTTGCTCTGATACTCCCAGGCCTTTATCTGGATGGACACAAACAGCTTTTCCCACCCATTCAGTAATTGTATCAGGTAGGGTCAATTGTTCACTGCTCACACCAGACACACTGTGTATGAAAAACAGCATTAGTGGTAACTACGTAATATGAATTTCATAAAAATTCTTTAAAATAAATTTTTCACCTACAGTACCAGAAGAACATTAAAAAATAATCAGTAAATACCAACAACTTCTGCCACCTTCTCTGCCCTATATGATGCTTTATTTACAAACATGGCCTCTGGAAAATCATGCTACCACCATTAAAGTTTACATGAAGGAAGGCTCTTTCAAACCCTGAAGTGCTCTGTAAGAAGAAATTGAGGAAGACAAGATTTTGGGAGAAGCCTAAATGTTACTCAAACAGCAAAGAGCGGTCAACTTAACCCTTTCAGGGTCGAGATCCCCAATCCTTAACTCACTCTCAGGGTCGAAAAATTTAAAAAAAAATCAATTATTTTTTTTGCAGTAGTAGGTTGGTAGACAGCAACCACCCAGGGAAGTACTACCGTCCTGCCAGATGACTGTGAAACAGAAACCTGCAACTATTTTGCATGATGGTAGGATTGCTGGCTTCTTTTTCTGTCTCATAAACACACTAGATAACAGGGATATCTTGCTACTCCTACTTACACTTTGGTCACACTTCACAGACACGCACATGCATATATATATACATACATCTAGGTTTTTTCTCTTTTTTCTAAATAGCTCTTGTTCTTCTTTATTTCTTCTATTGTCCATTGGGAAGTGGAAAAGAATCTTTCCTCCGTAAGTCATGCGTGTCGTATGAGGCGACTAAAATGCCAGGAGCGATGGGCTAGTAACCCCTTCTCCTGTAGACATTTACTAAAACAGAGAAGAAAAACTTTATAAAACTGGGATGCTTGAATGTGCGTGGATGTAGTGCAGATGACAAGAAACAGATGATTGCTGATGTTATGAATGAAAAGAAGTTGGATGTCCTGGCCCTAAGCGAAACAAAGCTGAAGGGGGTAGGGGAGTTTCGGTGGGGGGAAATAAATGGGATTAAATCTGGAGTATCTGAGAGAGTTAGAGCTAAGGAAGGGGTAGCAGTAATGTTGAAGGATCAGTTATGGAAGGAGAAAAGAGAATATGAATGTGTAAATTCAAGAATTATGTGGATCAAAGTAAAGGTTGGATGCGAAAAGTGGGTCATAATAAGCGTGTATGCACCTGGAGAAGAGAGGAATGTAGAGGAGAGAGAGAGATTTTGGGAGATGTTAAGTGAATGTATAGGAACCTTTGAACCAAGTGAGAGAGTAATTGTGGTAGGGGACCTGAATGCTAAAGTAGGAGAAACTTTTAGAGAGGGTGTGGTAGGTAAGTTTGGGGTGCCAGGTGTAAATAATAATGGGAGCCCTTTGATTGAACTTTGTATAGAAAGGGGTTTAGTTATAGGTAATACATATTTTAAGAAAAAGAGGATAAATAAGTATACAAGATACGATGCAGGGAGAAATGACAGTAGTTTGTTGGATTTACTGTTATTTTATTTATTTTATTTATTTATTTATTTATTTTATGTCTTTGCAAATACTAGTACATTGAGATTTTGTATTTACAATAGTGGGTTGCAATGCAGAGAGAGCCTCTATTATGCCTATGCATTATGGGCCGACTTAACATAATTGGCTTACAGACTACTTAACACTAAGGATTGTATCATAGTTGTACAGTAGGATAGTAATTATTTCATAGTTGTACAGTAGATTATTAATTATAAGTGAATCTAATTTGTATAAGACAAAAGATATACATATTCATATATTCAAAAATGCTTTTTGTGAAAACAATGATTCAATTATATTCCTGTCAACAATGGATAAAAGGTTCAAGGTAATTATTCAAGTTATGATGTGGGAGTACATATGTAAGTATATGTATACTGAATATTTAGCATTTAATCTAGTGATTAAGTGGCTTTTGAGTAGTCTTTAAATCGATTTTCAGACCGGGTTACTTTAATATCTTATGGTAATGAATTCCATATTTTGGGGCCCTTTATGTGCATACAGTTTTTACACAGTGTGATATGGACACAAGGTACATCAAAAAGAGATCTGTGTCTTGTGTTATGGGCATGTGTCCTGTTAAGGTTGGTGAGGAGAAGTTTGAGTGGAGGGTTTATATTTGCATGTATTGTTCTGTGTATGTAGCAGGCACATGAGTAAGTATGGATGTTCTTAATGGTGAGCAGCTTCAGACTTTTGAAAATTGGTGGAGTATGCTGGTGGGAGTGGGAATTTGTTATCATTCTTACTGCTGCCTTTTGCTGGGTTATTAGGGGTTTTAGGTGATTCGATGCTGTTGATCCCCATGCACAAATTCCATATGTAAGATAAGGGTATATGAGTGAATGGTACTGTGCCAGGAGAGCTGATTGTGGAATGTAGTACCTTATCTTTGATAGTATGCCTACAGTCTTGGAGATTTTCTTGGTGATTTGTTGTATATGTGTCTGGAACTTAAGGCTACTGTCAAGGTGGATACCTAGGAATTTTCCCTCTGTAAGTCTTGTGCCTGATGATCCGTTTAGCATTATGTTAATTGGATCATTTGCAGCTTTGTTTCCAAACTAAATGAAATAGGTTTTATCAGTATTCAGGGTAAGTTTATTAGTCATCATCCAGGCAGATATTTTCTACAATTTGGCATTGACTGTGTTTGCTAGTATGACTCTGTTTGAGTGGGAAAAGACATATGTAATGTCATCTGCAAATAATATGGGTTTGAGTAGCTGTGATGCATTCGGTAGATCACTGATGTAGATGAGAAAGAGGAATGGTCCAAGGACACTTCCTTGTGGGACTCCTACTGTGATTGGTTGGGTGGAAGAGTCTGCACGTTATGTATACTACTGCATCCTTGTAAAAACAGTATAAATAATATCAGCACACTTGTGCAAGAATATTAGACTCTCTCAAAAATCTTCGAAAAATTAATTCATAAACGAATCTACTCCTACCTTATCTCCCAAAACATACTCAACCCCTGCCAATTTGGATTCAGGCCAAATAAAAATACTAATGATGCTATTATACACATGCTAGAACATATATACACTGCAATAGAGAAAAAAGAAGTCCCACTGGGGATCTTCATTGACTTACGTAAAGCTTTTGATACAGTTAACCATGACTTGCTCCACGTAAAATTGTCACACTATGGTATAAGAGGGCACTCCCTCAACTACCTCAAGTCATACCTCAGCAACAGAAGCCAATATGTGTATGCAAATGGGGCAAACTCTTCTGCACAACCAATTACAGTTGGTGTCCCACAGGGAAGTGTCCTTGGCCCTCTTCTCTTTCTCCTATACATAAATGACCTACCAAATGCTTCGCAATTACTCAAACCCACACTATTTGCAGATGACACTACATACGTCTTCTCCCACCCGAGCCCAGTCACGCTAGCCAATACTGTAAATACCGAATTACAGAAAATATCTACCTGGATGAGGACTAACAAACTTACACTAAACATTGACAAAACCTACTTCATTCAGTTTGGTAACAGAGCTACAGATGTCCCTCTTAACATAATGATAAACGGATCACCTATCACAAAGCTAACAGAGGGAAAATTCTTAGGAATCCACCTTGATAATAGACTCAAATTTCATACACATATACAACAAATTTCTAAGAAAATTTCCAAGACTGTAGGCATACTATCGAAGATACGGTACTATGCTCCACAGTCAGCCCTCCTGGCCCTATATCACTCTCTTATTTACCCCTATCTCACCTATGGAATTTGTGCATGGGGCTCAACAACAAGTAACCATCTCAGACCACTAATTACCCAACAAAAGGCTGCAGTTAGAATGATAACAAATTCTCACTATAGGCTGCACACTCCACCAATATTCAATACACTAAACCTATTCACCATACAAAACATTCATACTTATTACTGCACCTATTACATACATAGAACACTTAACTCTGATATTAACCCTCCCCTCAAACATCTCCTTGCCAACCTCAACAGAACACATGACCATAACACAAGGCACAGATCACTCTTTGATGTTCCTCGTGTCCATCTCACACTATGCAAAAACTCAATGCACATAAAAGGCCCTAAAATCTGGAACTCATTACCTGTAAATATAAAAGAAACACTACCTGTTTATAAATTCAAGTCTCTTCTCAAAGATCACTTACTCACCCAAAACCAAATAAATACTGAATAACTGAACCTTATAAATTGTATATCTTAAATGTTTCTCACAATTATATCACATAAATGTTAAACCTAAATGTTAAACCTAAAACCCAATCTAACTTTATTATTTTTTAAATACACTACCTAACAGAATACTCCATTCTACTGAATGTACAACAATGCATACAACCATATGACCTGTCTTTGTAATACTCACTTGTGCTTTATAGTAATCTGTATACATTAAAGTTTTATCACTGTTGTCATCATTGCTTAGTTCATCTTAAGTTAATTTTAAGCCAGCCCGTAATGCTATGCATAGTATAAGTGGCTTTGGCATGCTGCTCTTATCTGTATTTTTTGTACCTCTGTATGTGTGCTCAAATTTTTAAATAAATAAATAAATAAATAAATAAATCAGTTGACATGTATTGGATGCATGGCATGATTTGTTTATGCTACTTTGTGCTCATTGTCAAGGCAGCTGTCATCAGGAAACAATCAAAATTACCTCTATTTCTGTAATACAGTGGTACCTCGGGATACGAACAGCTTGAAACCCGAATAATTATGTGAGTGTATATATGTAAGTGTTTTTGTAAGTGTATTTTTGGGGGTCTGAAACAGATTAATCTAATTTACAGTATTCCTTATAGGAACAAATTCGTTCGGTATCAGCACTCGAGCAGTCTTCTGGAACGAAATAAGTTCGTTTCCCGAGGTACCACTGTATATCTTCCATTCTATCAAATGAGACCAAGAAAACGAGAATACAACCATAAATACCATACGAAAATAGACTGCAAAATCACTATTTTAAACCAAAAACACGGTTGGAGTTTTTTTTTTCGCTCACTATGCACTGTGTGCTGCAGGATTTTTTTATACTGCGCACACTGACCACGCAGATCCATTCTTTCACATCAAGGCCTACCAGCCTTGTCCCGCTTGATTTGAGGGCGCTAGAATTTATGCGTACTAGTACGTCACCAACACTGGTCCATAAGACATACTAGCATGTCAAGAACCCTGAAAGGGTTAAGAACAAAAGCTGGATTATCAGATCCTCCAATTGCTGAATTTGTTTATTAACAAATTATATCTATAAAACTACAATATAACAAAAATTCTCAGCATCTTCTTTTGCATTAATGCTTTGTTTTTACAATATTATTTGAATAGATATATTTTTTAATAAAAACAAAATTCTTGCATAAACTTCAAAAATTATAATTAAAATATTAGTTTTGTTTTGAAATTACTGCCATCTATTTCATTCATATGAGATTTAAAATTAGTGAAGCATAGCTGAGACAAATGGGACTAAAACAGAGATGTTAAAAGCAGATTACTTTTTTATTACATTCATGGGGAAGTGCTAAACCCATAGGGGTCATACAGCACCTGGGGGAATAGGAGGCAATCAAGTTCGATCCAAGGAAGAGGACATAAGATCCAATTATCTGTTGCTAGCACCTCCTCAGAGAAAGTACTCAAATTGAAAAAGGAATCAAGAGATAAATATTTAAATGTGTTGGTAAAATTTTGCAAAACAATTATAATTGCAAAATCTGTTACAAAGACAATTATATAATTCAACATACAATAAAGACAACTTCACATAAAAAAATTTCAAACAAAGGAAATATGTATTTGAAGCACGTATATTACTAACGGGAGAGTAGAGAGTTGCCACAGCCAAGTCTCGGAAAATAGACACGAGGGTTTGTTGGTATTTTCTGAGATGGAGGTGTCACGCTGTCAACTTCATTATGTTCATTGATAATTAGCAGGTGATCGGCCACAGCTGCATTTGCAACACGAACACGAGGTGACTCGAATAGTGGATGTCGAACGCTCATTCCTGCTGCATAAGAGATCCCTGTTTAAGAAAAGAAATACAGATATGTTGTACGTAATAAACCGAACTTGGTGATTAGGCTGAACTCATATTAAAATTAAACTTTTTCAAAAAATTCTCCTACAGGATGTTAGACAATTTTCTTTCATTGACAATGATGTCAAGATAATTATTTTTGGAAGAAAAGTAACTTAGAAACCTCACCTAACTTTCCCTACACTAAAGCATTTTTTAAATAAATTCTGCAATACAGTGGACCCCACCTTACGATCAGCTCCCAACTCGACCAATTATGTAAGTGTATTTTTGTAAGTGCTTTTGTACGTGTATTTTTTGGGGTCTGAAACGGACTAATCTAATTCACAATATTCCTTATGGGAACAAATTCGGTCTATAACGGCACCCCAACAGACCTCTGGAATGAAATAATATCGTAAGGTGGGGGTCCACTGTATATATAATTGGTCAATTTAAATACATTTAATAATATATTTCCACCCCCCATGGCTCATCTTGCATTGTTAACCCTTAAACTGTCCAAACGTAGATATACGTTGACACGCAGCAGGCTCCAAATGTAGATCTAGGTCGGAGCGCTACGCACGTGAACATAGATCTCATTTGGACAATTTAAGGGTTAAGATCGTCTGTCTGCAATTGTTTGGCAATATATATATTTTTTGTTATTCTCAGATCAACTTCTGCTGATTTATGGCAAAAACTAATTTTCATTCTGCTAATTCGCCAAAGTGATCCTTTGCCAAATAGGCTAAACTCTGCTATATTTATTTATTAACACATCAACCATCTCCCACCAGGCAGTGACCCGAAAAAGAAGAACCACTGTCATCATCATTCACTCCATCACTATCTTGTCAGAGGTGCACTACACTACAGTTAAAAAACTGCAACATATTAACACTCCTCCTTCAGAATGCAGGCACTGTAATTCCCACCTCCAAGACTCAAGTCCGGCTAACCGATTTCCTTGAATCCTTCCATAAATGTTACTTTGCACATACTCCAACAGCATGTCACGTCATAAAAACCATTTGTCTCCAGTCACTCTAGTAGGGGTTTTGGTGCCAGAGTTACCCTCGAATTCCTTGGATCAACTTTTACCTCGATTTTTCAGAATTTTTTTGTTTTTGTTAATTTTGGGGAGGTTATCCTAAGATTGAGCTCCAACTCCGCGGTCAAGAGTCACCTCTAAAAATTTTCGAACTTTATCAAGATTTTTACATTTTTTTTTTTGGGTTTTTTTTTCAAATTTTTGGGGGTTATCCTAGGTTCAAGCTCCTGGGTCACACAATTTAGAGACTTTTTTTGCTGCTAAATACCTACTTGTCTCAAATGGTAAACACATTCACCCCCATTACCCTGCACCTCACTCTCACTATCACTATACTGAAAAAAAAAAGGTAACCCAAAAGGGCGGAAACCCAAGGGTCTGGTAGATGAACCCGGGAAAGAAGAACCTGGGAGGGATGATTGAGAGGCAGAGCTCAAAAAAATGGAGGAAGAGTGGGGAAGGAAGCTAGCAGAGCTTGGCATGAAAATGGAGGAGAGGACAGCTGAAGAGAGCAGGAAGTGGGGACTACAAGTCTTAGCAGCAGAAGATAAGATAAAGTGTTTAGATGAGGAACTAAAAAACCTGAAACAGATTAGAGAGACAAATGACAGTACAGACATGACATCAGGAACTTCTATACCAGTCACAGACAAGGGGACTGTAGGGATCCAGGAAAAGATGTGCACACCAAGATCAATTGAGAGACCTGTAGACAATGAAGGAGCTATGACATATGCAGAGACTCCAACAGACAACTGCAGTGGCAAGGAACAGGTGAGCAGGAAAGACAGTCCACTGAGCATAGGGGCTGCAGCAAGGGCATGGATTGAAGGCAGGAACGTTTCGATGCAAGGAACTAAAACACCTCAGAGGATACAAAGGGAGACACAGTGGGAGGAGGAGAGGGAGAAGTCAGTGTTTGTCTACGGGCTCCAAGAAGTCGAAGGGGAAACCTACGATGAAAGAAACCAGGAGGAGAAGAAAGCGATCGAAGTATCATGAAAGCAATAGGTGAGGGAGACATGACCCAGGTGACAAATTTTCAGAGAATTGGGTGATTTGCGAGTGGAAGGAAATGGCCGGTCAAAGTAATTTCCAAGGCAGAATCAGCTCGAACCAGGAGCCTGCAGGAGAAAGCATGACTGAGGGACAATCCAGAGTACCGGAGAGTGTACCTCGATTGTGACAGAACACAAGAAGAAAGGACGATAATGAGAGAGAGGGTGCAAAGGCGAAAGGAGAAATGAGATGCATTGATGAAGATGAGCAGAATCCAGACTCAGGTGGAAGGACAAACACACCTTACAGAAACACCAGCAGAAGGACTCCAACCACAACAACCCCAAACCAACTGAACAATCTAAACCAAAACCCACACACTGTTCCCTCTGCCACCACCCCCCACATCAAAAACCCCACCCCTACAGTAACCTATACATGTACATGGAATTTTTTGAAACAAGGCTGCTTAACACAATCCTCCCTAATAGAGCTAAATGGTTCAGATATGTTGATGATATTTTGTGTCTTATGCCCAAGAATGTAGATACACACCATTTCCTTGGTAAATTAAACAGCTTAGCCCATTCTATAAACTTTACTGCATATTTCGACGATTTGGAGCATTTAAAACGTTTTTCAGACAAACCTGATTTATTAGCTAAAATTCATTGATTTTCACACTTTTTTATCAAAATTACTGATGCAATTAAATTTTTTGCTTGAGTTTGAAGAAAATAACTCACTGTCTTTTCTAGATGTTTTAATTATTAAGGGTAATAATGAATTCAAATTTAAAATTTACAGAAAACCTACAAATAACTGTTCCTATGTACACTATTATTCTTCACATCAAGATAGAGTTAAACTGTCCGTTTTCTCATCAATGTTTTTGAGAACTTTACGTATCTGTAGTCCAGAGTTCATAGATGAGGAAATATCCAAAATTTATGAAACGGCTAATGATTTGAAATACCCAAGAAACGTAATTGATAAATCTTTTAAAATTGCTAGAAATACTTTTTACAATCCTAAAAGGGACAACCAGCCTTATTCAACTAAATATGTGTTGGTTCTCCCTTACCATGAAAACTTGGTTGATATGCCTTCTCTTCTTAAGACTTTTAATATCAAAGTTGTATTTAAAAATCTTGATACAGTAAAAAAAACTTTTGATAAAGAATTCCCCCCAAAATGCTGACGGATGTGTCTATAAGATTCCTTGTAAAATTTGCGATAAAGTGTATTATGGTCAAACTGGTAAAAGTCTCGAACTAAGATTAAAACAGCACAAATATAGCATTAGAACTAGACAAGATTCCAATGCTCTATTTATTCCTGTGAGAGATTTTAACCATCCAATTGATTTTCAAAAAGTTGAGAAAGTTGTATCAAGCAAGTCCATGGTCGACAGGAATATAATTGATAATAGACTCAAATTTCAAACACATATACAACAAATTTCCAAAAAAAATTCCAAGACCGTAGGCATACTATCAAAGATACGGTACTATGTTCCACAGTCAGCCCTCCTGGCCCTATATCACTCACTTATTTACCCCTATCTCACCTATGGAATTTGTGCATAGGGCTCAACAACAATTAACCATCTCAGACCACTAATCACCCAACAAAAGGCTGCAGTCAGAATGATAACAAATTCCCATTACAGACAGCACACTCCACCAATATTCAAAACTCTAAACCTACTCACAATACAAAACATCCATACTTATTACTGCACCTACTACATACATAGAACACTTAACTCTGACATAAACCCTCCCCTCAAACATCTCCTTACCAACCTCAACAGAACACATGACCATAACACAAGACACAGATCACTCTTTGATGTTCCTCGTGTCCATCGCACGCTATGCAAAAACTCAATGCACATAAAAGGCCCTAAAATCTGGAATTCATTACCTGTGAATATAAAAGAAACACTGTCTGTTTATAAATTCAAGTCTCTTCTCAAAAATCACTTACTCATCCACAACTAAATAAATACTGAATAATTGTATCTCATAAATTGTATCTCATTATTGTATTATTGTATCATTATTGTTTTTGTAATACTCATTTGTGCTTGTTATCTGTTTACAATAATGTTTTACCACATTAAGTTAATTTTAAGCCTGCCCGTAATGCTATGCGTTCAAGTGGCTTTGGCATGCTGCATTTAACTGTATTCTTTTGTACTTCACTGTATCATGTTCAAATTAATAAATAAATAAATAAATAAATAAATAAAAAGCAGTTTTGACAATAATATGAATATTTCCTAGGGTTTATATAAATTAGATCCATTTATAATTAATAGAATTTGGGAAGAATTTAATAATACATTGGACAAATAATAAATTTAAAAATTCTTAATTCTTGGTTAGAATAGTTTGTTTGTGGGTGGTGTGAAGGACCTGTCTAGTTGGGTCAGCGGGCCTGCTGCAGTGTTCTCTTTCTTATGAGTCGCACATCAGGTGTTGCTTTGTTGTGAGATGTGATAGTGAGGTGTGGTCTAGACCCTTTATATGCCTTCTTCTGATGCATTACTTTTATTGTGTCTTGATAATGTGAGTAGTTACGAAAGCGCTTGGAATTTCTCTGCTCTTTCACGGTGGTTGTTTTGCATATACTGTACATGTATATATATATATATATATATATATATATATATATATATATATATATATATATATATATATTATATATTTATATATATATATATTTTTATATATACATATATATAAGAGGGGGTAAAGGAGGTTTTGTGGGCGAGGGGCTTGGACTTCCAGCAAGCGTGCATGAGCGTGTTAGATAGGAGTGAATGGAGACGAATGATACTTGGGACCTGACGATCTGTTGGAGTGTGAGCAGGGTAATATTTAGTGAAGGGATTCAGGGAAACCGGTTATTTTCATATAGTCGGACTTGAGTCCTGGAAATG